AAGTGTATCTTTACTACGGAAGATGTATCCTGTTCAATTTTTGTCTTATGTTAGATCCTATCTAACATTAAATTTTACATAGGAAAAAGTGCGAGCGGGAGCCGAAATGTAATAATAAAATTCATCCGATTCGAAGGAATCTCACTCAGCCCTATAAGTTACATATAGGTACCCCGTCATTTGCGGGTTAGCCGCGGAAGCCGACTAATGGCATCAGAACTTCTATCAAGGAATATATGTGATGAGCACGCCCCCCTCTCTCTCTCTCTCTCACTCTCTCTTTCTCTCTTTCTCTTTCTCTCTTTCTCTCTTTCTCTCTTTCTCTCTTTCTCTCTTTCTCTCTCTTTCTCTCTCTCTCTCTTTCTCTCTCCTCTCTCTCTCTCTCCCTCTCTCTCTCTCTCTCTCTCTCTCTCTCTCTCTCTCTCTCTCTCTCTCTCTCTCTCTCTCTCTCTCTCTCTCTCTCTCTCTCTGTGAATACCTTTCATTCCTGTTTTGATGGCTTTGGGAAGTTGTGTTCTTTTTAAGCCTTAGCTGATGACTTCATCCGTCAACTAAATAAAGTAAAACAGCACAGTCATCAATATATATTATTGTGAATATTCCGCTTTGTCATTGAACAAGGAACCCGGACATAGCCTTGTGTGCATGTCCTGTGAAAAAAAAAACAATTATCACATTACAATTACTGTTTGTGCCTTGTGGAGGAAAATGTGCCTCCAATGACTGCGTGCACGCATCCAGCGCCTTTCCTCGCCATCCGTTCCGCGTGCAACGACCAGGCAAGGTCTGCGTGTGCCTGGACAATGAACAATCGACTAATAGGAACAGCAGAACGTGTGAATGTCAGCCGACCGCTGGTAGTTGGAGTTCCCCGCGCCAGACGGCCGACCTGGAGAGCGGGCTGCAGAGTGCAGATAGTGCCTATCCGATCTCAGAAACGATACTTTTCAGCAAAAAGCTATTGTATGCGCGTTATTAGATGCATATCTCGTCGATAACATTATGCCATTACAATATCATTCACACCATAATCTCATTAGATACCATTAGGCAGAGTAATAACTCAGAGCTACATATATCAGCATCAGCTATCTGGCACATTTCCTTAATGAGGTGGGTGGGCGGAAACACGAAATGTGAGGCGGAGTGACAGTGCAGCTAAGGTTCAGACGAGTACTAGCCAGGCTCTTGAATGCGTAAAATAGAATACGGATATAATGCGTTTGATAAATAACATTCGCACAAGATAAACGAGTGGTCAGGACACTACCCGATACTATCTTGTTACCGATGAACGATACTATATAGTAACTAAGTAGTACGACTTGTCTGCATAATCTGTTATAATGCGGAGTCACTAGTGTATGTACGTGCTGGATTTGATAGATGGATATCAATTGGTCTGGTATAACAGTGACTGTGCATTCACGGCAGCTCAGTGCCGTGCGGTGCGGGCGTGTGTTATCGGTATTCCCGAGTAGTATTCATAGCGGGAGAATACCACGGACTCCTGAGCGGGGGAGAGAGAGGGAAGAAACCCTGGTGATACGTCATAATCGCACCACCGCCCCTTCACAACAGTCACCACAGCACGCGAGCATCAGCCGTTACGAATGCCATTGACAGAGAATCAGTGAACATTCACCGTCGCTGAGCGACAATCCACAGGAAAACCGGTCGGCGGACCGTCTCACACGCAGCTGCACCAAAATATCGGCCAATCACAGACACACACAATTACCGACGCTGCAAACGGACGTCACCCACAATGCCGCAGTTCATCGCCGAGGACATGATACAGGAAAACTTCGAAAGGGCGGACCGAGGAAGTGCCCATCGGAAAAAAAAATAAACCAAGAATCGGCATCGCGTGTCAGGAGTGCACACATATGTGGCATTGAAGCGACGGAGGCTATATAAACGGTGAGAGTGCACTGTGGTCACATTCGACAAACGGCAGCGGCGATGTTGCAGACCGTGGTGAGACGCTCTTCACCGGGCAGACAGGAGTCGGCCACTGTTAATTTAAAGTCGTAATTGTTTCTGCAAGCCAACACCTTAAGGCTGAAGCAGACTCTTTCCGCGTTCAGGAAATCGCATGCGAGAGCCTATTCAAATACATTGTAATTCTTCTCGCATCAATCGCTTGCGGGAGGTGCGTGCGATTGATGCGAGCGTGCTTCCATGTATTTGAATAGGCTCTCGCATGCGATTTCCTGACTGCGGAAAGAGTCTGTTTCAGGCTTTATAGGCTACTGATATTCAACATGTTTGTTGCATCTCTATCCACGTTTTTACATCCTTTGGCATTGTTTTTAATCAGCTATAACTGCTCTTATAGTAATTAGAGAATGACATCATTGTAATGCTTTGTCAATATGCACGTGATTGTAAATGCCAGAAGGTTAGTTCTTCATGTGTTGAATCTCGCCACTGTAGCACGCCTCTGACTCGTTCTAAGCCCCCACTGGCACTGTTTATTCAGGCGATTTCGTTGGCGGTGACGCTGGGCGTGGCGGTGGCGCCGGGGCTGTACCAAAGTCTACAGCGACTAGACGAAGCCATATCAGACCAGGAGGAGCGGGAGGACTCTGAGGAGCAGGAGGTCTCACCAAAACAGGAGTCCCAGGAGCTGGAGGACTTTGAGGATCTCCTGCTCGACTGCTGGGCGTTCCGAGCAGACTGATCGCCTGACGTGGAGCACTTCCAACAAAGCCAGAGGATGCGTCACAGCCCAGTGGCCAGTGGAGGCTCAGTCGCGGCGGGAGGATGCGTCACAGCCCAGTGAGTCAAAAAAGTCGGCCCAGCCATGGACGGGGCAGAGCAGCAGTGAGGACAGAGCCCGAAGGGATAGCAGTGTGCTCGCGCAGTACGGTGAAGTGAATGTGCAATGCGGTGCTTTGGAGTGTTCAGTGTAGATGGCTCCTGAATAGCTTCAGAGCACAACAGGTGTTACAGCCCAGACCCACAACCAGCTGTGAAAAGTGGCATTAGCAGTAGAACGAGTCTAGAGCGTGTAGATCGTAAGAAATCATCAGCATAAAACCATTGTTGATATTTGACAGTTCTGAAAGCATACCATAGAAAAACAGACGAATCTATCTTACCATCCTGTAAGTACAATGAAGATATCTTCCAACGATTACACATGCCATAAATCGATGCAAGTTTTGTCTATCATGAAATGCCGTCTGTTGGCTTCCATCTCTAAAAATGTGCGTTCTACTGCTCATGAGCGGTCCGGAGGTCCGATGCTTTACTGTTGGCTAGCAATGCAACAGTAAAGTCTTGGTATACGTCATTTGTATTCTGCAAAATGAAATCACTAGCTTTATGGCCATCCAATCCCGCTGGTGAGCACGGGAAAGGCGACACAGACGGTTCACAGACTAGTCAATTGGTAAGAGTGTTTGATTGTGTCGTGTGTTTTATAAAATACATGAATACACACAAGCAGGTCTCATTCAAGTCATTTCTGATATACCAGCAGGTGTATGCATTGACTGTAGCCACCTGCTGAGTCTTCATGCGTATTCATTCATCTACCCGAGTCTCCATGGCATTGTGCTATTGTTGTGTGCACTGTTACAGTCTCCACGTATTGGCGTTACTGTTGTATGCACTGTTGCAGTCTCCATATATCAGAGCTACTGTCATGTGCGCTGTTGCAGTCTCCAAGTATTGGTGCTACTGTTGTGTGCACTGATGCAGTTTCACCGTCTTGTTCCTATTGTTGTGTGCACTGATGCAGTCTCTATGCCGTGGTGATACTGTTGTGTGTGTACTGTTGCAGTCTCCATGCTGTGGTGATACTGTTGTGTGTGCACTGTTGCAGTCTCCATATATCAGTGCTGCTGCCATGTGCACTGTTGCAGTCTCCATATATCAGTGCTGCTGTCATGTGCACTGTTGCAGTCTCCAAGTCTTGGTGCCACTGCTGTGTGCACTGTTGCAGTCTCCACGTATTGTTCCTTATGTTGTGTACACTGTTTCAGTCTCCGCGTCTTGCTCCCATTTTTGTGTGCACTGTTGCAGTCTCCAATTCTTGTAGCTACTGTTGTGTGCACTGATGCAGTTTCACCGTCTTGTTCCTATTGTTGTATGCACTGTTGCAGTCTCCATGTCGTGTTGATACTGTTGTGTACCTACACTGTTGCAGTCTCCATGTCGTGGTGATACTGTTGTGTGCACTGATGCAGTCTCCATGTCGTGGTGATACTGTTGTGTGCACTGTTGCAGTCTCCATGTCGTGTTGATACTGTTGTGTACCTACACTGTTGCAGTCTCCATGTCGTGTTGATACTGTTGTGTACCTACACTGTTGCAGTCTCCATGTCGTGGTGATACTGTTGTGTGCACTGCTGCAGTCTCTATGTCGTGGTGATACTGTTGTGTGCACTGTTGCAATCTCCATGTATGGGCGTTACTGTTGTGTGCGCCAGGACAGTCTCCACCACCCGGCGCCAATGCTGTGTCCACTGCTGAGATCTCCGTATCTTGGTGCTTCTGTTAAAGTCTCAAGCCCCGGTGTTACCGCTAAGTGCGCAGATGCACTCTCCATCCCGTAATGCTAGTCGCGCTGTCGCAGTCTCGCAGCTCTCGTTTGCTGCTGCTGTGACTGTGGTTCCCGTGGTGAGTACCCGTGTGCGTATCAAAAGTGCAGAAATACACCTCCATCCGCCATCACCGCGGCATCTGTCACACTCACCCTACAGACAAGCATTAGGAGACGCATTCGAACAGGGCCATGTGCCAGCACAGAAGCGTTAATATCCAGGAAAGTAACCGCATGTGGTTCTCTGCAGATGGCTTTCAGCACGAAAAATTGTTTTGATGCCTCGCAGTTCCCAATGCCTTCGCCCAGGCAAGAGCCACACTGGCACTCGGCGCACCATTGGTTTCTGTCCACCAATGGTTTCTGTCAAGCATTGTTGCTCTCGCAAAATGAGCCCGTGATAAGGAATAGGGGTGGATGAATAGAAACCAAATATAACGCAATGTTCACTAGCGATGCAACCATTTACAAAGATACATAAACGTGTATTTACTCGTGAATCACATTCCATGTTTGGTCCATTATACATCAGCTCTTTCAAAAATAAACAAAGGAATCAATAAAGATCACTCCAGTTAACAACTGTGGAAATACCCTCGCACTTCAATCGAATATCCACAACAGTTGCTTACAAAGTCCATCCTAGCATGCTGATAGACTTGCTGAAGTATCGACAATGCACCCTTCGATGGCGGCAGCTGGTATCGAAATTCGAAGCTATATCCGTATTCCGTATACCGATCCGAATTCACGTCAATCGGGGAATATTCCGCGTCACATGGCACACAGCCGAGGGGAAGGCCGTCTGTGCGCCCCATTTATCATCCTTCGCTAGCCACCGGGAACGTTTGGACCACGGTTTGGCCCGCAGTGATCCTTGAAGGAATGTGAGCGTCCTCCGCCTGAAGCTAGATACTTCGTATGTCCTTCTGGATATTATTATGTTGGTCTGTAGGGTCTCCTGTCTGGCCACTTACCACTGGGAGCCAGTCAGAGCCCGCGAGCCGTACCGAATGACGAACACCAGACTGCGGCAGAACACAGGGTGGAGCAGCATTAGACGAAACACAGGGTGGAGCGGTATCAGACCGAGCACCCCGTGAAACCAGTCAGACAAAACACAGAATGGAACGAAACACAGGGTGGAGCGGTATCAGACGGAACACAGGGTGGAGCAGCATTAGACGAAACACATGGTGCAGCGGTATTATACGGAGCCTTAGATGGGCAAATTACAAGAAAGCCGCGCCGGAAAAAAATGATACAGTATGACATGAAATAAGATGGTTACCACTTTTTGAGTGAGCTCGTCGCATTGAATAAACACCACTCAATTCTTACGGGATATTGATAACTGACGGACAGTCCACCGCAGAATATAACGTGCGGTATCAGTCGTGGTTATGCTTTGCATCTGTACCTTAGGAACGATTTGCCAGACTATAATGAAACTTGGAATGAAGCATACATGTTTCGTCATCCTTGCAGCTGCAAGTTTATTTTTTGCTGTCTACTCCTGGATCACTTCGTATTTCAAATTCGTCAGTGAAAGCCATGTGTTTTGGTAAAACCGCACATTACTTTAGCAGTGGGCTGTACGCATTTCGCTTCAGAATCAAATGAGCTGACGGTTCCAATAAAATGAAACGCTTAAAGGGACTATCCCACCTTTAACATGGGGTTTGATGTGAGATAGCCAAGTTTGCGGCGAGGTTCAGAAACCACTATCTATCTAGGTTGCAACCCCCGCGGCCTCTTGGTGTTGAAGAAATTCGTTCCCTTCATTTGAAAATGGGCCTTGTACAAGGCCCTATCTTCAACATGGAGCGACCGTTAGTGTGACGTCACCTCGTTTAGTCATTCTGATTTAAATGGGTTTGTTCGTTGAAAAATCGCTTAAAACTTGGTCTGAACTTTGTTGTGGTGCCTACAGAGTAAAAAGAATCAGCTTTATGACAGTAATGTGGCCTGGTGAAGGAGGTAATTTTGGGCTGTGACGTCACATATTTGAAAGTTTGTGTTTGGAATACGGGAAGCCTAAGATGTTTAATGAAAAATAAATGCCAGAACCGTGTTCCTGGTCATCCAATCTATAAAGTCGGGCACAAATTAACTGGTTTTAACAACATTTTAGAAGGTGGGATAGTCCCTTTAAAGCCTACACGCAATTTGAACGAATAACCAACGTTCCAGCGACCGCAGGTTAGCGTTCTATCGGGACACTTCGTACCTGATGGCCGCCACGAGTCCGGCCGGCATCATCTTGCCGCTGCGTCTGAAGCGGGCTCCCATCACGGCCAGCAGCACAGAGCTGGCCAGCAGGGAGAGATGGTAGTTGGCAGGGTCGGCGGAGACCTGCTGGGCGCCCACCGCCAGCGCTGCGCCGAAACCCAGGCCGGCCACCAGCGACGGCACGCTGCCTATCAGGGACAGAGACCGTCGACTGTCAGCGACGGTACCGATACCGAACCCCAGGCCGGCCACCAGGGACAGCCCGCTGCCTGTTAGATAAACAATACCGAGTCAGTATACACCACCAGAGCAGCATACTAACTGTCACAGGGATAGTGACCGCCGACCGAGGCAATACAACGAATACAGTACACAGTACACCGCCAGCGCGACACCAACCCCTGGTCACCGTTGGCGAGAAGCTGATCACTGACTGATCACTGGTGGCGAGAAACCCCGTTCGAGTCGTTTCAGCAGTCGCCTTTTTCTCCCAATAGCAAGAGCCTACAGTTACAGAGGTCACATAACAGGCCGAATGAATTCCGTGAGTGGCAACTGGTGAACCATGTCCAGCTCCAGGAGCACGTCCGGCTCCAGCTTCAGGTTCAGCTCCAAATTCGGCAGCATTGACAAAACTTGAAAATTGAATGGTAAAAAATCAGGGCATGTATTGTGAGCAGCATGCCATGCTTAGGGTGAATCTATTGCAGAGAATCTATTACCGACTGAGCTAGCAGCATGCACAGCTGCCGGTCCCGTAGCTCAGTCGGTAGAGCGTTGGACTCCGCGTGTGAGAGCAGGCGTTCCCGGTTACAACAGTCCGGGTTCGAAGCGCGACGGGCGCTTGACGTTTATAGGCCTCCCGACAGGTATGGTGGCGGTTGGTGGCAGGCCGTAGCCAGGCGAAGTCAGTGAGGGGACCGGCCGTGCGTGGCTATGCGTGCACGTTAAACTTTGGACTACAAATTCTGCCATAGAACCGGAATTGCGCGATCGGATGGTAGATGGCAGGGTCAACGCAACAAGCTTCGCTTAGCGGGGGTTCTGTTCTTGTGAATCCTTCCATTCAAATGGTTCGGACTAAATTTATTTTAGAAAAAAATCTGAATATGAAGGAAATGTACCTATTCGAAGTTGGGCAAATAAAGCATGCACAGCTAGAATATATGGTGATTGGCCATGAGGACATATGAATACTGTTGCTGCCAAAAAGTTGCTGATCCCATATCTGTTATGGTGACTGGGTAAAGGAAGTGAAAATTTTATCTGAAATTCTGAGACACAAATTGGCTATTGCCTGTACCCACCAGCTTTGCTGAAGCCTATTATGCCTCCGGCTGCCACCAGAGCTGCATAGCAGTAGGCAGCAATGTCTGCAGGCATCTCTGATATCTGCCGGCACAAGACCAAGGCAAAATATGAGATAGGTTCAAGGTTGGTAGGTATGCATAACAATATATGTTTCAGAAACATCAATTTTATACCTTTTATGTTGTCACTTGCAATTGCCAATTTGAGTGTCATTCAAAATGTTATTCCAAGCTCCCAAAAATCATGGAGATTGTAATTTCAACTTTGAACTTTTTGAAGCTTGAACTATAACTGAAGCTGCTGCTGATCTGAATAATGCCAAATACCATTGTATGTTATAGGTTTGTAGGTTAGGTTGTAGGTTTGTAGGTTGTAGGTAAGGTTAGGTCAGGTCAGGTCAGGTCAGGTTAGGTTGTAGGTTTGTAGGCTGTAGGTTAGGTCAGGTCAGGTCAGGTTAGGTTGGTCTATTATATATCTCCAATGTCTCAATCAGCAATCTGGCATCTTCCTGGGGCTGGGATGGGACACCAGGCTTAGGTACTAATACTGATAGTTAACAAGCCTAAAAGAAAAATTATGTTTTGAATGCCAAGTGCAGGCTCCACTATTTGATTTTTACATGTGATTTTGCAATATTGGGATATCACATCGCAAAGAAGTTCAGAATTCTGTACATTTTTGTGGTAATGCGCGGGCAATGTTGCGTGACATTTCATGTGACAATGCGATGGCCGCAATGTGGCTATCAAATTGCGCGAGCTGATGTAATGTGATGACGTCACACTAATGATGTTTCATGTAATCTGTGAGATTTTTCATAGCTGCATTTGGAACAGAGTTGCTGTCTCGTTGAATGCGTTTCATACATTGGTTGATCGCACGTCCCTGAAGATGTTAGCAGCAATATTTGATGACATTAATCACACAGATTGATGACACCATGGTTAGTTGATGTTTCCATGGAAACCCATTAATTTGACACGTGTAATAGCAGCATGCTGCTATCACCGGTGAAACAAGGCCCATATGAACATTTTCTGGCATCACCGACAGTGAAAACTGACAACTGACACCCGAGGGTGAGGGGCGAGGGCATCCCATCGCATTCTCGCAAAATCTCGCATTGTCGCAAAATCGTACAGAAAACGGCGTAGTGGAGCCTGGGTTATTATTCACAGTTATACAACTTTTATTTACGGTATCTAGGTCCTAGGAAGCTTTGTAAATTTCAAAGAAATTAATTGATCTTCACGTATAACTGCGAGCCGGAGCGACCTTGGGGCGCCGCTTTTGTCACGCTTTTACGAACAGACAAATTGTTTGTTTATGAGAAATTGAGATCAATAATAATATATGACGTCATAGGACTAGTGCACTGGTGACTTATTTCTGTCAGCTTTAGCAAAAAAAAGTGTATCAGACTATAAAAGAAATGAAATGGTGGTTTTTAAGTAATTTGCCTGCTTTTATGCAAAATAAGCAGGAATTTTCAGTAAAATAAATAATTTATTAGCAAACACCACCATAACTAATGACGTCATTCAAAAATGATTGCGAAGAATTTGTATCACTTACCAATCGGCGACTTACGTAGGGGTGAGACTAAATGCTTACTTCGAAATCTAAGCTGCGTTGCGGCATTGGCGGTTATGTGCGGCGTGTATGCCGCATGATTAGTAAGCGGCGACCACTAAATTAAAAACTCTATAGCTTCGACCTGTTTTCAATGGAAAACACTGCATACCAAAAATGTCCATCGCTCTCGTCATAGGATATTTAGATTTAAATAACTAACTTATCTACATCATCGTTTTGAACCAAATTAATGCTTTCAACTTGACCCTCGCCCGTATTGGTGTTTTTCCAGCCGCGAACGTATAAAGTATAACCCCTTGCCGTTTCGCTCCTGATCAAGCTAGAGCTTCGCGGAAAAAACGAGCGTGTTGCCCGTGACGAGAGAAAGCCGATGATACCCAATTTTAAGGTCCCAGGTCATCGGTTGACCTTCCAGGTCAGGTCAATTACCCAAAAGGCGGGAAAATTGGGACCTGTTAGAACGTCGTAGTGTGGCTGCCATGGGGTTTTCCGGGGTGCTGATCACAAATATCGTGTTAGTTTTGATCGGAGATGATGTCTTTAAGCATTTAGACCAGCATCGGGTCAGGTCAGGTCAGGTCAACCGGTAGGGGTCGTGATGGGTATTCGTAATACGTGTCAACCGCTTCTGCAGCTTCGTAACATGTTACGAATGCACCAAAACTGCTTCGTAAATGTTCAAATGGTTGCTAAATTCGAAATCAGCTTTAAAAACTAGACTAAAATCATGTAAAACTCGAAAAAGTGAACCGAGGTCACCAAAGGTCAATGACCTGACCTGACCTTCAGGTGACCTTGACATCCACCCTTATGCATGGGAGCAACATCAAATTACATGTTTGAACGTTTGAAACCACGAAAAGCTTGCAAACGCGCGGCTAATGCGAGCCGACATACGCCGAATCGCGATTCCGGCCAAACATGGTCTCGGAAAGTAGGTCACAGGTCAAAGGTTATTTGGGTCAGGGTCATGAAATTTTCAGGGTGGGTGTTAAATTGATCAATGCGAGGGTACTGAAAGTTTCGTCGCGATCAGCCGCTTTTTAAGCGAGTTATTCGCGAAAAACCTTAGGGGGGTTGCATCAACCCCCCCCCCCCGGCCCCTGTGCGGGCGAGGTCATGTTTTGGTAGCAAGACTGAAACATACTTTTTTGGGTAGCCAGGAAATCGCATGCCAGACTGCCTATTCAAATTCTTATATCGGCCTTTATATGCACCAGTCGCATACAGGTACTGGATTTAGCATACGATTTCCAGACAATCGAAAGACTGTTTGGAGCCAACAAAGGAAGGAATGAGTGAGTTAAGTTGACAGTATTAATTTGGTTCAAAATGATGATGTAGATAACCTAGTTATTTAAAGCTAAATATCTTATGACGAGAGCGGTTGGCATTGTATGCAGTGTTATTCATTGAAAACCGGTCGGAGCCTTTGAGTCTTTAATTTAGTGGTCGCCGCTTACTAATCATGCGGCATACACGCCGCACATAACCGCCAATGCCGCAACGCAGCTTAGATTTCGAAGTAAGCATTTAGTCTCACCCCTTACGGGTGTAGGCATTTGCGGTGCGGCATAAGTTGGCGGCAGTTGGCGGATGGTCGGTGTTGGTCGGTGTGAGCGAGGATTGAGCGCTATTTTTTATCTTCATCGATGATTTTCTGGTGGTATTATTGCCAGAATTATTTCTCGGATGCCTTTTCTGCAATACTTGCATTCCAACTCTGTTTGCTTGCTGTAAGAGTTAAAGGGCAGGGGTAATGTACTGGTACCTACCTCATCCTATCACTATGTCAATTGTCATCACTGCCTTTGTTATGCCTACCTTAGGTACCAGTTACCACCACCACCACCAGTTGTGTGTTTTTATGTTGTGGCATCTTTAATTTACATTGCCATGCCACATACCACGGGGTTCGGTGGTGTTACACCTTGGTTACACCGTCCACGGCCCGCTTTCTTCTTTATTGGTGCGGCGTTTGAGATGAAGTTGGCTTGACGCTTCATTGTTGATTGTCCAATTTCCATAGAAACCCAACCTGCTGCATGTGAATTGCCAATGCATCACAGTGACGAAACGAAACGAAACAGTGCTAAGAAACACTAGGTCAGTTGGGCAAACTAGACTTTTAGAATCAAAATATGGAGGCATCAATAATTTGATTCTGGTGAGAGGAGCCATGACCAAATATGGGCATGGAATCAATTTTTTGATTCATTTGGGTACACTTTTGACTTCAAATGTATCGTTACGGTTGAAAAAAGGCCCATGACGGTGAGATTTTTCTTTAAAAAGGTAAGAAAATGTGGTAGGATTGCAAAAAATGTTACCTCAAAACTAAGAAATTGTCCCTTTGGCCTTGTGAATGGGAAAAAGACAGAGCCACTGTCCATCACGTAAAAGCTGTTTTGAGAAAATCACACTGTATGTTATTTTTGTATCATGAATCGCATAATAAACTGGAGATGATGAGAAGTGCAGTATTTGTGTAAAATGGCAAAATGAAATTTTCAAACCCTTAATTATCATTGTTGTAGTGCTTTTATATTTATTATATGGTTTTACCTGTTGCTTCAGTTTTTGTATTCTTGACATTTAAAAATTGTGAATTGTTATCAAATGTAGTGAAGGTAAAGTACAACAATGCTATAGGTATCTGTTGTGGTGCTGAGGATACCACTAAATGAGAACAATAGCAAGATAAATGCTGTATTCTTGCAAGTCATTGTTGCCTATCTGTTAACATTACCTGTGAATCAAAATAATGATTAGCCAGCTGATGGGGAATCAATATTATGATTATCTGTTTAAAGTGAATCAATTACTTGATTGCCTTTCACTACCTATAGAATTCAAATTGTTATGATAGGAGCAATATGATTTTGCATAGGAGATAGTTCCAGCATTTCTGTTCAAGATCAGGCATGCTCCTTCTTAAAACACTGTTATTTTTATGTGATTGGTAAGTTAGAAATGGTCTGCATTTATACCCAAATATGGTCATAAGGAATCAATATTTTGATGCCTCCATATTTTGATTCCAAAGGTCTAGTTTGCCCAACTGAGGTACCCCTCTATAATTTCAAAGCTGCTTGGCCTGAAAACTGAAAGATCCTAATCTGTGAATAATGAGTATGACGTCCATTGTGACAGACTTTGACTTATTTTGGTCAGGGGTCAGGAAAATGAGGTGCTTCCAGTGCTTATCCATACATTGGTACTGGTTGATGGTTGGTAAGGGGGCTGATGCCCAGGGTGTGTTGGGAGCACTGTGCACTGTGCATGTGCAATAATGCATGGATACCATATTGATTTTGTGATCTTGTTTAATTGTCGGAACGCCTCTTGGATGTAGGACATTGTTTCTACTTGAATATTTGTATGTTGGTGACCTTAAGCCCTAGTGTAAAGACAAAGAAACCAGACTGACCTCCAGATGATGTTGAAGACGATGCTGTGGTCGACGATGATGAGGAGAAGACGACGAACATACATCCCGCGAGAGGAACCGCTCAAGAACCACAAGACCAAAACTCAAACCACCGAACAAGAGCGCCATCGCAACCAGGACGCCGCGGTAACAGTAACGACCGACCCAATGTCCCACCACAAGACCGCCGAGAGACTGTCCCCTTCAGCATAATGCAATTCAACTGCAATGGCATTATGTCGAGGCTCACCGAACTGCGCAAGAGGATCGCTGACGAGAAGCCCCATGTGGTTCTCCTCCAAGAAACTCTGCTGAAACCGACCTCACCCAACCCAACCGTACCGGGCTACAATGTCGCCGCGAGGCAGGATTTCAAGCCGGATCAAGCACCGGACGCTAATGATGGCCCGCAGACCCAGCAGCAGAGCCACCAACGCACGACAGCGACTGGCCAGAATGAAACGGCGACCTGGACCTGTCGAAGAAGGCACAAGGACGCGCGTGATCAGTGGTGCGACAGCTGCAAGGCGAAGAGAGCGTGCCAACGGAGAGCGACCGCGCTGCGGGAAGCCGGCCGAGCGACTGCTGCTGGACCAGATGTCCCAGCCCCGGACGGAACTCGAGACGGCCCACCAAATCCTCAGTCACGGACCACATCATCGAAACAAGGCGGCGTCCTCACACTCGTGAGAGAAGACACGCCCTTCTCAGCTTTAACCGACCCGTACCAGCCAGCGACACCCGATGACAACAGCTACTGCGTGGGCACCATCGTCCACCCTCCCAAGTCTCCTCCAATCTCCATCATCAACGTGTATGCCCCTCCGGCAAGATGGACAGCGGGTCAAGGCACCCAGAGGCAGACGATTCAGCTCTCCGGCATAGCCACCGGCACACGGCATGTAGTGGCTGGAGACTTCAATGCACACGGCGGATCCTGGGACCAGTTCCAACCTGAGGACGAGCTCGGAAGAGAGCTCGAAGACTGGACCACCCAATCCGGCCTTGTCGTTATGAACGACTCCAGCTACACCCGAGTGAATCCGAGCACGGGAGGGAGGTCGGCACCGGATGTCACCCTAATCTCGGGAGACATGGCTAGCGCCGCCACCTGGTCTACTAGACCCAGTATGGGGTCCGATCACCTGCCGATCTGGATTACCATCGAGGTGAACCCACCACAGCACATCCCCAAGAGAGGACGCTTCAACTTCAAGAAGGCCGACTGGA